TACAAATAGATAAAACAAATAAAATGAAATAAATAAACAAATTTTTAATTGTTTCCAAACCTCCGGTAAACCCAACATATTTAAAAATAAATTCGGAAAAGTAAAACAAATAAAAGACTAAAAATGTGATTTAGTTAATGTTTGCAATTTGTGAAATGTATACGGCTGTATACGCTGAGCTATATTTTCTTTTTTGTTTGAGAAACGGTCCACGACACATAGTACAAGTTTTTCTATCATACCCCCCCCCCCCCCCCCCCTCCCCCCCCCCCCCCGCCCCGCCCGCCGCCACCCCGCACCTCCAGCACACCAAGCATCTGCAGCGCCCAGCGCAGCAGCGGCAGCAGCATACCCAACGCCGCGGCAGCAGCAGCCGCAGCAGACCACCCAGCGCCAGCAGCAGCAGCAGCAGACGACCCGGCGCCTGCAGAGCACCCAGCGCAGCAGCGCCCAGCGCAGCAGCGGCAGCAGCAGCACCAGCAGCAGCAGCACCAGCAGCAGACCACCGGAAGCCCGGCTAGCTTTCGTTCACCCCCTCTGGCCTCAAGTGGAACACCTGCGGTTCTCTCTCTCTCTCTCTATTCCTTCAGTTGGATGAGAGATCGAGCACTGTGCAACACCAATTCTGACCCTCTGAAGATGTTGCATCAACCAGGCGCTCCAATGCTAGGAATTGATTGCAAAATCGGGGTGGCGACGTGCTTTTGTATGTTCTGTGGGCTACTCACACCCCTGGCCCGCCTTGACTCAGGACTGCTCGAGGGTTAACCATACGTATCAACCTCCCTCATGAAGTGTTATTTTGTGAGTCTGGCTGTCAATGACCGACTTGCAAAGAGACGGCAGCATTGATCCTGCCTGAGGCGCCGCTTCCTTGAGCGGGCCCTACTCTGCAGGTGCAGTGTGCCCAAACATGTCCGTCTCAAATCAAAGACGCTGCATTTGACGTTCCAAGAGAGACAGATGGTCTCCAGGGACAAAGACATCCAGCAGCACCTTGCCACCGGTTGGACCAGATGGTCGATATCAAGGAGTCATGAAGGCCGGATCGCCGGATGTGGTTATTTGATGCCCACGATGATTGAAAATTATCTCCTGTGTAGCAAGCCATGGATGTTTACAAGCCTTCATGATGGCTTTTGTGATGGACGTGTTGCAAACTATTGACATCTATTGACTATATAGTAATTATACAACTATATAAATATAAACATATACTGTATGTGCTTTTAACTTCTGGTATTGGTGAATGCAGTAATGCTTGATAGACCTGTCATTTGAGGGAGAGTGCAGGGCAAGTTGGAATGTTTTCAGTTCTGTGCAGGCGTGGAATTCCGAGAAGGGCTTCGGCTTTTGTGCTGCCGGGCCCTTGGTTCATGGTCTGCATTTCTCAAACCTGCCTTCCTTGAGTTTCCTGAAGAACCTTTCTTGCCACATATTCCTTTGTGTTCATGTTGCTCCCCGCTTGCCGAAATCATTGATCTTGATGCCAAACTGTTCTCATGTGTCACTTACGTGGTGCCACGTTTTGTTTTTTCATCAGCATTGGCTCAGTTGGATGGCATGGCTGCCGACATCTTTGTGCACATTGCAGACTGCATAGGTACACAGCCTCAGGCTCGGGGCAGTCGTTTCGGAACATCGCTTGGGCACCTTATTAGCATTTTCAAAGGCAGTTTTCTTCGCCTGCTTGACAGGTTGGGGACGTTATTAGCATCTTGACAGCAGTTCCGATTTGGCAGAACCCTTCTTCAGATGATGCATGTATTAGATTTGATCCGGCGAAGACCTTGTATAGCTTAAACCGAAACAGAGCCAAGTCCCGTTTTCAGCGTGTCCAAGGTTTTGAAACAGAGCCAAGCCATAAGAAGGATGGGACCACCAATTTCAAGGCCAAGAATGTGACGGGTGGATCAGCACCTTTGAAGCGAGACTTTGGTCTTGGGAAGAAAGACGATGAGCCTGCGGCCGCCGCAGCTCCTGCTTTGGATTTGGCTTCACTTGGTTTGCAAGGAGGAGCCTTAGGTGTTCCCGGGCTATCCTTGGGCATTCCTGGCTTAGCAGGCTTGGTGCCTGGCTTGGGCTTGGGAGGCATGTCCCTACCTGGCCTGAGTGCCGAACACCTTGCAGCCTTAGCCCAACCACAAATGATTCCTGGTCTAACTCCAGGGCTGGTCTCAGCCGCGCCTGGAATGGCTGGGTTCCCAACGATGCCGTTGGTGGGCGCAGGCTTGCCTGCTATGGGCTATGTGGACCCAGGTACAGCTGCTTCTGGGGAAGTGACTGGAACCGCTCCAGCTGTGTAACGTGGAAGGAAAAGAGCTATTGCTGATGTTGCTGGAGCTTGTGAGGAGTTTGAAGCTTCCATCATGTTTGAATCGCTCTTCTGAACCAAGCAAAACCCTCCAAGCTCTTTCAGGTTTGCAAAATCAATGAGATTCAGATAGATTCAGATACTTCTGCGCTAAAGCTCACACAACCCAGCTGGTGCATTGTCGCAGGTCAGAGTCGGACTGGCAGGTGATTGGATTGCCACTGGTCAACTTGGTGTTCCCGATGCTGGGTCCCTAGTGATATGACTGTGACGAGTTGAAGGTAATGTTTGACACTCACATTCTCACAGTTGCAGGCAGTTTTTTATTTCTTAAATATGTGGCTGCTGTAATTACTTCAAAGACTGTTTCCGCAGCGATTTGCCCTTTGCATTGCACTTGAACTGAAGATCGTGTGCATCGCTTAGGTGGTGATTTTGGACCACCGTGGAGCTCGCTATCATGAGGCGCCGCCGATGGCGCCGCGACTTGTTTGCTACGGATCATGTCACGCGCCGAATCGCTGCAGGACTTGTTGGCGCTGGAGCCGATGCGAGAACACGCTCGAATCATTGCTGACAACGCTACTTCCCTAGTCTCAGGTTGCTTTGGGGTATACTCAGACAGGTTTTTCAAGTATATACTGTAATTTGACTTACACAGCACTATTTAGATATATTTAGTGGATATCTCAGGGTGTTCTTTCGGTTCACGGTACACTCACGCAGCTAACTCGCGCTCCACCGCTGTGACGCCCGAGGTGCTCAGCCCTGGAGCGTCCGAGTCTCGAGAACGGTTCTGCCGGTTCCGGTTCCGCGGACCCGGAGACCAAGGCCTTTGTTCCTGAACTTCGTGGATGAGCGCTATGCCATTGCTATTCACGAGGAGTGGTAGAAGTGTTGAAGTATGAAGTCAAGAAAGATTTTTTAATATTGATCGGAATTCGCCGTTCTGGAGGATTGGCGGAATCCGGAAGAATTCCATGGTTTTATATGTCTTTTCTCTCTCTTTTCTCTTGTGACTTGGTGATGCCCCTTTCTCGTGATGTGTGCTGTTGGCCTTTGTCTCTCGCAATGGTCATTCTCACATCTGATCAAACGCTAACCAAATACAGCTCTTGCCGCAAAAAGACCTGAGTCGAGCCATGAAAGACAATGACGGTTGCGGTCAGAACATGCCCCCTTGTGTATTTTACTTGTAGGTTCTTGAAAGAGGTCTACAACGCTCTTGCGGCTCTTCAGGCAAGCACACAAAGTGCGAGGCTTCAGCCCACAATTCAACCAACTTGGGTGCGGAACTGCAGTCGCTGCAATCTATTCAATTTGGCCTGCTTTGTTGGACTGGGGCATCCTTGAGGATCTTGCGACTAAGGTGTATATAACTGACTTTGAAGTATTTCTCGATAAGACCTCCGGCTCAAAGACTCTGCGAGCTTGCAAGTGCTGCAGTGCTGTCCACCTTTTTCGACCAGCCTTTTGAGTTGAGCTTGCCGCACCACTCAGATGAGTCACACATATTACATAGACTATCATACACTATCTCTGTCAGCAGTCTTTTTTTCCCTGACAACGAAAGAGAACCGTTCGTCCTTGCTTCAGCCGGGACCATCAGTCGTCGAAGTCCAGCTCTTCGCTCGTACAGGAACGGGGACTGGAATGGAGGGTCAGGTGAAAGTCCCCGAGGGTTTGGACCAGGTTTGAATGGCTTTGGGGTACTTGATGGTTTCTTGGATCGCTTTTCATTGGAAGGGTTTCTAGAGCACCTTGGTTCTGTTTGGAAGCAGGTAGATGAGTTTCTTCGTGCACGTGCAGATTGGGTTACTTGGATGAATCCAGATTTGGGCTGGTTTGTGGCACTTTTGCACCCCTGACCTGAAGGAGTACTTGCACCATTTTGCACCCCCGACTCTGATCAATACTCAACAAAAAAAACTGGATGCCAAGCAGGTCAAACACATAACACTTTCTCACTTTCCTTCTGCTGCAGTAGTGAGTAGTGCAGAGAGCCACAAAGGAGCCAACACTGGTGACGATGCAGACCGTATGTGTTGCCTTGAACGGCCAGTCAACATGGTGCGCTTTTCAAGACTTTCTCGATTTTTTGCTGACCATGACTTTACAGGTCATCATTTTCATAGCAGATGTGAGCAAGCTTCAAGCTCCCCAAAGTCTTCCGTCCAACACTATTCTTGACGCTGGCTTCCAGCCTTGGTTCGACATGATAACCATTTCCCTGTAGAAGACCATACGAGACTACAGTACTTCCTATCTGAGATTTTCATGTTGTCTGCCATTCTGCGCAGCAAAGCCTTTTGCATCCATTTGCAATATATACTCTATGGGCAACGGGATTTTTTACCATCTGGCCCACGTAGGTTGTGACTTGTAGCCCAGGACTTCTTCACAGACCCGTGCAGCCAGTGCCTGGTGAGCTCGGCTCCGAGAGTTGGGTGAGCTCTCCGGGCGGCTCTGATCTTCAACCGATCTTTGAGGTTCCTGGGCTTTGCAGCTGAAATTGATCGGCCGGGAAGCCAGGATAGCCAAAGACAGAAAGGCACCACAGACAGCATGACATGTCAATCCCCATAAAGAAATCGTTGAAGGTTGTGTTGGCGCAGCAGTCTGAAAGCCGGGCGAGTACAACGGCAAGATTGGGTGGACCTGGAGGACACCAGCAGAATCTTACGATTCTTATGCATCAAGAATCCGCACGGAAGATTGTGGATCGCCAATGCTATTCAATAATATTTGAGGAACTGCAGTAACTAACATGTTCGACACATGTTGCGCGCACACGCACACACTTAGATAAAGGCTTGCAAGAGCAGTATCAGTTGATGAAGTCCCACTTGACTGCAGTAGACCTTTACACGCAGTTAGACCTTAACTTGATGGAACCGAAGAATGCTGTAACAGAATGGTGGCTGAGTCAGCGGAGTTGAAAGTGTTTCAACACTGTGTTTCAACGATCTGGCCATAACCGGCTGCTTTGGAACGAATCAGTTACTGAATGGATGCAATTTTTTGGTAGCAGCGCAGGAGCAGCTGTCACCAGTGCTGCATCAATGGGCGTCAAAACGCGGCCTTTTGAGCTGGAAAAGAAGAGAGCTCCTGCATTGAGAGCAATGAAAGTCAAACTGGAACCATGGATGCGATGTGAAGTGAAACTTTGTCACGGAAACACTCTCACTGACTCAGGAAGACACCCCTTCGGACCAATCTGTCTAGACTTGCGTGTTTGATCCGAATCACTTCTATTGAACCTATTTGGACCTATTCGGCTCTGGGCCCACTGAGGTCCGCATACATGAGAGGCTGGATGGCTCTGTTTGAGCATCGAGATGGCAGACTTTGTGTCCAACACAACTGCTTTGACCAGCAAAGTGGCAGGCTTCACACCCTCAAGCAACTTGCGACCCAGGCAGGATGCTCAGGATGCCCATCTCTACTCTTTTGACCAGAAGTACGAAGTTTGCAGTTGTCAGGCCATGTCACCCCGCTGGCCAGCTGCATCTCCTTCATCTCACAGAGTGCTCCTCGTCACGGCAGTCGTGGATGTGAATGGATGTGGTGATGCGATACCTTTCGGTGGTAGTGTATAGATGTGTATAGATGGTATGTCATTTCTCCTCTTCCCACTCTTTCAGATCATTTATAAGTGGTACTTTACTACAACTGGTATGTTCTGATAAGTACGGCACAAGACTTCGATGCGGAAGCGAAGGCCATGGCCTTCCAATTCCCCGGTCTGACATCCGGATTGCTGGCCCTCAACTGAGGTTGATCCACTCTCCAATACCATGTCACGGGCCTCGGTAGCTGTGGTCCTCAAAAGCTGGGCCAGCTCCATAGTCGCTGAGGTTACAACTTTGGCAAAGCAAGGTCGACCTCCCCCCCCAAGGTCGGGAAGGTTTGTCGAGTGAAAACCACGTGCCTTACGTGCCTCACGTGCCATACCAGAAGGTGCATAGCGGAGACTTTCTGACGTTCATGTCTCAAACACAGGCTCCAGCTCTAAGGGCTTGAAGACCAAGATTGTTTTGAACATTTCATCCTGAGTCACTGAGGATCCTGAAACAATGTTATTTTTTTTCACTCTTTGATTAGGAAGCAGTCAAGGCAAGCCATCACGCCAGGCAACGTGCCACCGTTCCATTAACCATGGCTCAGCCGACCCAATGTGGAGGCTGCAGGCCAGATTCCACGCTCTTAGTCTTTCTAAAGAGCTGCCGTCACCACAGATCAAGGGTTGTCTTTGATGCAGGGCTGTCTCTGTCCCCATGATCGCAGCAAAGCAGGCAGGACTTCTAAAGCTTTGTTCAATTCTGCTCCATTTGCTTTGCTTGTGGCTCAAGTTTCAGACTGTGATTTTGCTAGCTTGGAGCAAGTACTAGAAACCCATCTGGACGGCCAAGATAGATGCAACATATGCATTGATGATCATTGATGCATGAGAAGGCAAAGCCTCCAACTTTGATCAGAGTAGCAGCTGCTGCGGCTGCCGCCACAGGTCGTGAGGCACAGGTCGTGATAAAGAGTTGCCTGAGAGTTCAACAGGGATGTGCACCAACTTGCTTCGCAGCTCTGCCATCGCCGTCAAGCTGCAAACATTTCTCTACCTCCAAAAGAAACCCAACGGTCTCCAGATTGGCAGCTGCAATGCTTGAGCAGGCAGCAGCCGCTCTTCCTCTCCAGCAGCTTGATGATGTCCGGAGCTTCAATTTCCCTCCCGTTCCAGGGAATGCATTGAAAGCAAAGAAATATATATAAAGAAATCCTCTTGAAGTGAAGATTCGGGGGTCACAACCAAGCTGTCACTGTCCCAGACAGTATATAAACATATTGTTTAGCGCACAAACATCGTGGGTCTGGAGGACATCTGCATTTGAATAAGACAAGTTTTAGTTTCCCACCACAGAGGTGTCACATGTTGGAGATTACAATTGCCACTGAACACACATGAGCTGCCCTACTCGTCTGAAGAATGATGTCTCATAGAAGACAGAAGAGGGCTCTTGGTGAACATGCCTGGTGAAGAAATCTCGAAGGCCTTCCGAGGGCCTTGTTCGAGTTTAGCGCATCATGTCCGGCCTTCACTGTTATAGACCGCCCAGGTTCGACATCGAGTTCAGGCCGAGTTCTGGTCTGGTACGATGTGATGGGAACCGCATTTCTGTCATGCGCTAAAAGAGCGTGGCGTGGATAGCATGAGCGCCCCCCTGCAAATATCATATTGTGAAGCAACGCATGCTAAAGAGAGCTACTGGCATCGCTACTAGGAGCAAGGACGCTACTAGGGGCTCCTGGCCTTACTACTAGGAACAAGGATTCGTGGGGAATCTCTTAGGTTGGAGGCCATCGCTAAACAGCATTCAGCGTTTCACTCCAGCACTGGAGCCACGAGAACATCCACCCAAAGTGCGGTTTGGTTCTTTGATGCTACATTAGGTGGATTTGCACAGAGATCACTTGGATGTGCAACAACCAAATCTTATGGATCTTTTGGTTTTTTTTGCATCTGCCTCTGTCACCCTTTGTGATGGTATGGCTTCGATGAGATGTGCACATTCTGGATCTTGGCTCCAAACGAACAATTAGTAGAGTAGTTGGGTCTTGAGACGGAGTCTCAAGTCTGCTCGTGTCGACACTGGCCGCGATCTTGGTGCCTTGTGCGTTCATCTTGACTCTGTCAATGGAGGGATTTGTGCGCAGCCGAGGGCCTTCTGCCAAACTGAGTGGCAGGCCCAGCTGTCAGATTGGAACGTTAGCAAGCAAAGCTGATGGGCAATTGCAAGCCGTGAACTCAGCCAAGCTGAGTCGAACCATCACAATCTATGTCTATCTCTATCTATAATATATATATATATATATATTTATGTAGGCGCCGGTGTGTGCAGCGAGTTCTGTTTTGCACGCACCGGGTTTGGCGAGACACGCTGGTATCGTTGTGCATTGAATGCAAAAGGAAATCCATAGATGAGACATGATATCCATGGTATAATATTCTATAGTAGATGCTTCTTTTGTTTTTTTTACTTTTCTGTCCATATCTACACCAGCTGCAAATGCCTAGTCCTGGCCTTCACGACCCAACAGGAGGACGGCTAACCCATCGCGATTTCCGCTGAAAATCGACCACCTGGCCTCGTAGTGCTGAATTGTCTTGGCCGGGCTTCACAATGCCAAATAATTTGGAGTGGCTGACAACATGGCCAAATGGAATATATGTTGTCATCAAACTTTCAAAAACATTGTGGAGAATCCAATGTTTTAGAAACAAACACATGTTTCAGCCTGAAAACATTCTAAAACCTCCACATCGATTTGGAGGAGGATTCAATCACACGCTTCAGTTCACCTTTAGGAGCTCTGAAGCTGAGCGCTAGTGGCAATCAAATTGATCTGATTGGCGAAGCAAGCACTACCAGGCTCGCCGAGGAGTTGGGCCATGGGGGGGGTGTTATACGGCAGTTCAGCAGAGTAGGATACGGTAGGCCTAGGGCCTAGAGAGGGCTTTCCCAGAAACACATTGCTTGGAACACGGTCTTCGACGTGCAAGCAAGTGCGAAGAGGTAGGTCACGGAGTGAAACCCTTCACCCAGCTGGCTCTATCCCTTTACTCGAGCCCTCATCCGACATCCCCATCGTCCGACACTCTCAGCATCAGGCCTGCTTCCAGCGAGGACACCCCTCCCCAAACCAACCTCATCCAGTGTGGTGGAGTGGAACTGGGAGACCAGGAGATGCAGCTCATGCTGCGCGACGCGCCGTTCACGTTCACGCCGCGCGGTTCACGTGCGCTCGATCTGACGAAATCATCGAGAGTTCGATTGGCATTTGTTTGAGGTGTTTCAGGAACCCAAGAACATGCATCATGACATCCCCTAGATTAAAAGCACAGCAGTTCCGAGGGCTTTGCAAGCTTCTGCAGGAAGCTACACCCACTTTTAAGATGGAAGTTGCATTCGTGCTCACCTCAGTCCATACAGAGGCTTGGTGCTGAATCGCCGGCAAATGAGCATGGATAATTTGGACTGGAGTCAAACACCACAAAGAATTGCTTCTCAAGCAGGTGCGAGGCAAGCTCCGGCACATCTGGTGGGCGGAAGTTTTAATGTAGATAAACTAGAGGAATGTGAGTTGTGTGACCAAGAGTTGAATAGTTAGGTGATGATGTTTGAGGTGATTTGTGATGTGTTGAAGTGTAGAGCAATGTGCTGATTTGCTATGGGGTGAAGTGCACAGTGTTTTTTTGATGCGGCGATGTGTAGTTGGATCATTGGTGATAAAGCGAAGTGTGGTCTGTCATGTGGTACTATGTTCTATAAATCTTATATACATGTGTTTAACATTATGTCCTTTGGTTGAACTCTTACATTTCAAAAATATAAATAGTATTCTCTAGTATTCTCTACCTTTCGAAACTTCCCCCTAATATATATACTTAAATAGATTATCTCGAAACCTTGACTCATGGATACTTGTCGCGAGTGATCTCTATAGAATCGTTACTCGCTTTTTTTGTTTATGCTTTTCTATCTTCCGCAGCCCTGGCAGTATGTTCCAAATCTTTGATTCCGCTCCCCACTGTTGAGGCACGACTTCCTCAACCTTGCTACCAGTGATACGGACATGCACTCCTTTTCCAGAATTCACCGTTTAGCGCCCCTATCAAAAGTCTTGAGAAGGGTGCCCCCCTCGAGTCGCCACTCTCTGAGGCCTCAGGAGCCAAGAGTCATCGCCTCGGTGGAATCGCCGAACCAGACGCACAGCGTCAAGAGCGCTGTGCGCGCGTGCGCTGTGCGCGTGCGCATGCTGAGGACAAAGGTCTTGGTATGTCTCAAACATTGTTTGTATGCATATCATATAAGCAAATATACCGGAAAGTATACCAGACGATTCCCCTCAAAAAGTTTTCACCTTACTTCACAGGTCTTCGAAGCGAGGCCCCTTTTAGCACCATGTTCATGTATTCTCGGTGTAATTCACGACGATTTCGAGACCGTTGGGCAATATTTGTATTCTGAAGACATGTCAGATGTTCAGAACGGTTGTTGTGATTAAGTTTGAGCAGATATCCTATTTTTGAATCTTTTG